TATAGAGTAAACCAGAGGTCTGCAAACTACATTCCCAGTGAACCAAATCTGGCCCACTACTTGTTTAACGTTTAAAAAAAATACAGATATAGCCGGGCGCGGTGGCTCACGCCTGTAATCCCAGCACTTTGGGAGGCCGAGGCGGGTGGATCACAAGGTCAGGAGATCGAGACCATGGTGAAACCCCGTCTCTACTAAAAAATAGAAAAAAATTAGCCGGGCGCAGTGGCGGGCGCCTGTAGTCCCAGCTACTCGGGAGGCTGAGGTAGGAGAATGGCGTGAACCCGGGAGGCGGAGCTTGCAGTGAGCCGAGATTGCGCCACTGCACTCCAGCCTGGGCGACAGAGCGAGACTCCCTCTCAAAAAAATAAAAAAATAAAATAAAATAAAATAAAAATAAAAAAATACTGATATAATTGTACTTTTTGAGTACATGTGATATTTTGATACATGTATATAATATATAATGATTAAATCAGTGTAATTGGGATACCCATTACCTCGAACATTTATCTTTTGTGTTAGGAGCATTACAATTCTTCTCTTCTAGCTATTTTGAAATATACAATAAATTATTGTCAACTATAATTCTTCTACTCTACTATCGAATACTAGAACTTAGTCCTTCTAAAACTGTATTTTTGTACCCATTAACCAACTTCTCACCATCCCTCCATTTTTACAAATAAAGTTTTATTGAAATGCAGCTGTACCCATTTGTTTACAATACTACAACAGCAGTGTTGAGTAGTTTCGACATAGACTACATGGCCCACAGAATCTAAAATATTTACTCTCTGGCCTTTTACAGAAAAAGTTGTCAACTTCTGAAATAGATGGTTGGTAGTACCTGCCACAAGCACTAGAAAAGGAGGACATAATTGTTTTCTGGAAATAACTTACTATTTTCAAAAGAGCATTCCAGTAATAATGAGGAAAAAAAGATTTTTGCTCTGCTCACATGTATTTTGTAGTTTAGTGTTAATTTTTACTTTGAATTATGTGGGGAAAAGAAAGAGATCAGCCTGTTACTGTGTCTATATAGAAAGAAGTAGACATAAGAGACTCCATTTTTGTTCTGTATTTGAGATGCTGTTAATCTGTGACCCTACCCCCAACCTTGTCCTTGCAAGAGACATGTGCTGCGGTGACTCAAGGTTGAATGGATTTTGGGCTGTGCAGGATGTGTTTTTGTTAAACAAGTGCCTGAAGGCAGCTTGCTGGTTAAAAGTCATCACCATTCTCTTAATTTCAATTACCCAGGGACATGTACATGGCCAAAGGTCACAGGGACCTCTGCCTAGGAAAGTTAGGTATTGTCCAAGGTTTCTCTCCATGTGATAGGCTGAAATAATGCTAAAAGGTTTATGGAGATGTTTGCATATGCATCTCAAGGCACAGCATTTTCCTTTAAACTTATTCATGTCACAGAGGTTTTTGTTCATATGTCTTACTGCCGATTTCCTCCCTACAATGATCCTATTGTCCTGCCACTCCCTTGTCTTTAAGATGGTAAAGATAATTATCAATAAATACTAAGGGAACTCAGAGACCGGTGCCGGCGTGGGTCCTCTGTAAGCTGAGCGCCGGTCCCCTGGGCCCCCGCTTTTCTTTCTCTATGCTTTGTCTCTGTGTCTTATTTCTTTTCTCAAGTCTCTCGTTCCACCTTACGAGAAACACCCACAGGTGTGGAGAGGCAGGCCACCCCTTCAAATTATATATGGGATGAATGAGAAGCCTTATAAACTTCAGGTATTAGGGTCAACGAAGTTCTTAAATTGGCCCTGATTTCCAGGCATTCCTACCCATGGTCTGACTTCCACTCATTCCACAAAGAGGCACTAGGCACCTACTGTGGCAGGCATTGTGCTAGGTCCTGGATAAGGTCAGGATGGACAGATGGATGGTTGGATGGATGGATGGATGGATGGATGGATGGATGGATGGATGGATGGGAAACTGCGAGAGAGAAAGCAAAAGAGACAGACAGGAACAGAGAGATTAGACTAACCAATTTCATGCCTTCTCAATTTTGCCTAGAAAATAAATGTGTGAGGAGGAAATGACATTCCAGTAGGCATGTGGGTAAAGGCCTGGTTGCTGTAGCAAAGAGACCCCTTTAGAAGTGTGTAGGTATGCAGGGACATAAGTTGATTTCCTGCAGTCCACAATGGCTAATGTCTCTGCTCCACAGAATCAGGGACCTTGGCTCTTTCCATCACATTCCTCCACAGTCTCTAAGACGTTGTCCTTGTCCTCATGGTCAAGACTGGGTTATAGATGCATTTGGTTTCCAGGTTATGGGAAGAGGAAGAAAAAGCATGCAGGAACACACTCCTAAAGTTTTAAAGACCTAGAAAGTAGCATATCTCTCCTGTTGCTATAGACTGGAGGTGTCCCTCCAAGATTCATATACTCAAATGAACCCCTAAGCCCCAGTGTGATAGTATTTGGGGATGGGTCTTTGGAAGGTAATTAGGTCATGAGAGTGGAACCCTCATGGTGGGATTAGTTCTCTTATAAGAAAATACATGAGATCCTACCCCCAACTCCACTCCCATCTATCTGCCAGGTGAAGACAGAAGGAGAAAGCAGTCTTCTACAAGCAGGAAGCAGCCCCTCACCAGACACCAGATCCACCTGGGCCTTGATCTTGGACCTCCCAGCCTCCAGACTGTGAGAAATAAATGCTTACTGTTTAAGCCACTCAATCTATGGTATTTTTGTTATAGCAGGCTGAACTCACCAAGACACCTCCCTTCACCATCCACTAAGTCACATGGTTCATCTACTTAGAAGGAAGGCTAGGAAATGTAGTCTTTGGCTGGGCAACCATGAGACTAGCTATAATCCAATTATTTTGGATGAATGGGGGAGTGAATTTTGGTAGACAACTAGGAGTGTCTATCACATAGGGTAGGCTCATGAGTCCTTGTTGAACTCAAAGAGTGAGATAGTCAACATCTGTGTGTTCCCAGAAGTTCTCAAGCCACATAGGTATAAATCCACTGACACCTGAACCTGGGAAGTTAGTTCTGTTCACTGTGACTGGCAGAAATAATTTCCTGCTGACATTATTAGTGGCTCCCAGCCAAGGCAAGAAAATGAGACTACACCCATAAAGGGACTATTACAGCCCTTCAGGTGCCACGTTGATGATCTTATGCTCCACCTCACACCAAATTCACACCCTGGGTAATCACTCTTGGCAAGACCTAAAACTTCACCCTTTGTGGATGGTTTAAACAATTAACATTCCTTAAAGAAAATTCAAAAGCAAACCGTTTATGCAAGGTACACAGTTCCTGGGGGCCTTAGACCCCCTAAGAAACATCCCCACCACTCCTTTCCCTCATAAGGCATAAAAAGGATTAGAATCCAGGAAACTTGCTGTACTGGCCTGTTACAACCTTAATCCAAGGGAGTGACACTAATGACAGAATTTCAGGTATGATGTAAGGTGAGAGATTGGAGACAGGGGTGTACTTTGGCCTCCATAGAGAGCCCACACTGTCCCCCACACACACAGCACTGACTGCCCCTAGGCCTCTCTCAGCAAAGCGCTTCTGGCCTATATCCAATATATATCTCTTCCCTCCAGTTCAAGGTGGCAGGAGACATCAGATAAATTCCTGCTAATGTGCCAAGGAGAAGGCCCTTCCAGGTCACCAGTGCCTCTCAGAGACAGGTTTGCCCTGTCATTAAATTATTTGTCATGGTGAGCTCTCGGGCATAAGAGAGGAGAGACTGGAACAGGTACGCATTGCTCTTAATAAACCAAAACCCACACCTTCAAAGGAAAATCCCAGAGGTAGACTCCAGGTGGGGTTCAGGAGATCAGATCAGTCCCTTTTAAGTCTTTCTTTCCCCAAAAGGATATTTTGGTTCTAAAAGTGACAAGATAACCAGACGGTATCCTCCAAGTGGAGAACAGCCCATAACTAGGAAGCAGAGTCTCATCCCTTGAGGAGGAAGAGGGCAGTGCTAGTACCTGGGGCTAGTGGAAGAGGGTAGGGTGTGGGCGGGGCTTGCTCTAGCCCAGTTGTTCACTTCACTGCAGCCTGCAACCCTCCCATTTCCCTACAGTCCACCCAGGACTGCACTCAGCTCCAGGGAAGGTTTGTGTAGTTAGGATCTGAGAGTTTAAATTACTACATAGGTTTTACCTTTTTATTCTGGAAATTTGCAAATGTACACAAAAGTAAGGAAACTCTTGTAATGGGTCCTCGTGTATTTATGCTCAGCTACAGTTATCAATGGCTTATCTTGTTTAATCTACCGACCTTTTAAAAAAATCTTTTTGAGGTCGGGCGCGGTGGCTCACGCTTGTAATCCCAGCACTTTGGGAGGCCGAGTCCGGCGGATCACCTGAGGTCAGGAGTTAGAGAACAGCCTGGCCAACACGGCGAAACCCGTCTCTACTAAAAATACAAAAAAATAACCTGGCATGGTGATGGACGCCTATAATTCCAGCTATTCGGGAGGCTAAGGCAGGAGAATCGCTTGAACCCGGGAGACGGAGGTTGCAGTGAGCTGAAATAGCACCACTGCACTCCAGCCTGGGCGACAGAGCGAGACGCCGTCTCAAAAAGAATAAATAAATAAAAATAAAAAATATTTTTGGTGAGTATTCTGAGTATTTTCAAACAAATCCCAGCCATGACATCATCTTACCCGTTCATTAAATGGCACTAATTAAATGGTGCCTAAAATATTACAAACATCTATGTTCGACCATACCACCTAGAGTTCTGGGCAAGAAGGTTGGGACCCACAGGTCAAGCCTAGCCCCTTAGTTTTACCATGAAGATAACTCAGGCCGTGTGAGGAAGTGGCCGCCCCACGCAGGTGCTAGAGCGCGAACCAGAGAAGTCGGTCCTCCGCGTTCCCCCGGCTGCCTGGTGAGTGGCAGACCACAGGCTAGATTTCCCGGGCCCCGGCCCTGGAAGGGGCGGGGGACTCTCCCCTCACTGCCGGCTGGAAGAATCCGGGCGGTCCCCTCAAGCACTTCTGGAAGTGCAAGCTGGGAGCGCGGCGGGCCAGGGATAAAGCCAGGTCCCGGGACGTGCCAGCTGCGGTAACTGAAGCCGGGGTCCCGGGCGGGCGGGGGTACCAGGGACAGGAGAGGCCTTAGAAAGAGGAGGGGGCCTGCGCCCACGACCGTCGGAATCGCCGCCTCTCCGCCGGCACCCCCAGGCCCCATGCCGCTAACAGGCCGGCGAGGCTGGCACGGTGCCCTGGCCCGGGGCGGAAAGCAGGAAGTCGACCCCGCGGGCGCGGCCCAGGGTGCGGCGCTGCAGGTGCGGCGCAGGGTGGCGGGGCGGGCGCCCAGTGCACCGGAGGAGGTGAGCGCCAGGTCGCCTTCGCGGCCGGGGGACAGAGGCAGGGGCGCGGGAGCTGGTGCGGCTGGACCGGGCGGGGAAACAGTATTTTCTGGAAGGGGTAAGAGATGCTGCCTTGAGCCCTTGGAATCTTGGATCCGGGCCGCCCAGAGAACCTCGATAGGAGCACAGGGATGACAGACTGAAGTCCGAGAGAGGCGGCGTGGCCTCCGGCCTCTGGGAGCGCTGCCGGGAGTCTCCGGCTTGGGAGAGGGCCTGGGGGCGGTGAAAATGAGGGGGAAAGGAGGGGACCACAACATCGTTGTGGAAGAATGAGTCGGGTTGGCAGAGGGACGTGGAGCTGCAACGCGGGGCTCTGGAGGTGGAGGAGTCCAGGCTGATGGAGCGCCGCCCGGGTCCTGGGTCGGGGTTCCGGGAGGTGGACCTGCGAGCCGAGCCGAGCCAAGCCAAGCCGAGTCGGGGGACGGAGGCTCCGGGGCAGACGGAGATGAGGATGGGCAGGTGAGGGTGATGCAGCCCTTGCAGGAAGCAGGGCGAGGCTCAAGCACACAGAAAAACCTGTGGCTGCCGAGGTCCCCCCGCCAGCAGCGGGCAGCGGATCGCAGGGGCGGGGCTGGGGACTGGCGAACGCCGCCTCTCTGGGGCTGTCGCTTTAAGGGCAAGGCGGGGCGTGTGGGCCCTTTAAGGCCACGTGGGGGCGTGCCAGGAAGTGAGTCCTGGGCCCGCCTCGCGGGGAGTAGGCCTCGGCTGTCCGGAGCCTCCTGGGCTGAGCCGGCGACCGAGCCCGGGAAGGCAGCGAGACGTGGGCGCCGGCCCAGCCCCCTCCCGCGTCCGTCAGCCCCAAGTCCCGAGCCCCTCTGACCCCTCCGTAGCCCTCCCTCCAGCTGCGCCCGGCCTGCGGCAGCTCCCTTAACGCCTCCCTCCCCCTGCCCACCCCTCCCTCCCACAGCTGCCCATGCCGCCCTCTCGGCAGCTCTTCCAACTCTGCCCCGCGTCCTTTTCCTGCACCTTCGCCCCGCGTACCTCCTCCTGCCCCGCCCTGCCATTCCTCTCCCCTCCCTTCTCTCTGCGACCCCTCCCTGTTAGGCCCCAGCCTCTTCTCCCCTCACAGGTCTTCTCTACCCTGGCCGTACCGCCTTAGCCTATCCCTCCCCCTTGCCCTGTGTCTTGTCTCAGGATCCCCCTTGGGGTGGGAGCAGGTTGTGGAGCGGCACTACTGGGCTCACCCCAAAGCAGAACTTCTCTATCCATGAGGACACTGGGGAGGCCTTTAGGCCAACCCCCATGTGACAATCAGGGCTGCGGCTTGCAGAGAGCACAAGTGAGCTCACTGCCCTGGACTCCAGGGAATCAGAGTTCTGGCCGCGGGGTGACCCAGCTCCTGTGCTACCATGAACAGGGCCCCTCTGAAGCGGTCCAGGATCCTGCACATGGCGCTGACCGGGGCCTCAGACCCTTCTACAGAGGCAGAAGCCAACGAGGAGAAGCCCTTTCTGCTGCGGGCATTGCAGATTGCGCTGGTGGTCTCCCTCTACTGGGTCACCTCCATCTCCATGGTGTTCCTTAATAAGTACCTGCTGGACAGCCCCTCCCTGCAGCTGGATACCCCCATCTTCGTCACCTTCTACCAGTGCCTGGTGACCACGCTGCTGTGCAAGGGCCTCAGCGCTCTGGCCGCCTGCTGCCCTGGTGCTGTGGACTTCCCCAGCTTGCGCCTGGACCTCAGGGTGGCCCGCAGTGTCCTGCCTCTGTCAGTGGTCTTCATCAGCATGATCACCTTCAATAACCTCTGCCTCAAGTACGTCGGTGTGGCCTTCTACAATGTGGGCCGCTCGCTCACCACCGTCTTCAATGTGCTGCTCTCCTACCTGCTGCTTAAGCAGACCACCTCCTTGTATGCCCTGCTCACCTGCGGCATCATCATCGGTGAGTGGCAGCTGGGCCACGGGGAATAGGGTGGTCATGGGGACTGAAACCCTGAAGAACAACCCTTCTAGGCATCCTAGGACTTCATCTGTCCCAGCTCCTTTGGTGCAGCAGTCATAGGAGAAAGCCTGGGGGCACAGAGAGAGCAAGTAACTTACTAAAGGCCACTCAGCAAGTTAGGAGCCCAGCCAGGGCAAGAACAATAGTAATAATAATAATAGCAACAGCAGCAAAAGCAACTGACATTTGTTGAGTGATTAAAATGTGCTAGGCACATAGATCTTAGCCATATTAACTCAGTTGATCCTCATAACAAGATGGGATTATAATCCACATTTTACAGATGGAAAAACCAAGGCACAGAGAAGTTAAGTAACTTGTCCAAGATCACCCGGCTAATAAGTGGCAGAGCTGGGATCTGAACTCAAGCCATCTGGCTTCGCAGTTCACATGCCTGACCACTGTACTCTATTGTTTCTCAAGAGCCCAGGTGTCCTGATTTCCCATCCAGTGCTCTTACTAGAGGACAATACGTCTTTTAAGAAATATACCATCACTCTCTGCCAGCTCAGGATAGCGCCTGAGACAGTAGCAAGCGATATGCTTTAAGAGGCCTCAGCTGTCTTCCCGGACTTGATCCTTAGAAAATAATAATTATTAACGGGGCAATTATGCTGATTATTTCACATATAGCATCTCTTTGGTTCTCCCAGAGATCCCCTGGGTTGTGGCATCACTACCAGTGGTCATCTCTATACAAACAAGGAAACTGAGGCTCAGAGATGTTACGTTACTTGCCCACGGCCACACAGCTACCAAGCAGCCAGGCTGGGATGCAAACCCAGATTGGCCAGACTCCCAGGCAATGCTTCTATCCCCTCTGCTCTTCTTGGAGGTTAGAACTGCAGTATTCAATACAGTAGCCATTGGCCACTTATTTAAGTTAAAATTAAGTGAAATGTTAAACATTCATTTCCTCATTTGCAGGTGTTACAATCTGATTTTCTAGCCACATTTCAAGGGCTCAGTAGCCACATGTGGCTGAGGGCTATGGTATGGGACAGCACAGGTTAGATGGGCCCATATTTTTCTGGGCCCCACGGTGGGTTAGAGAGCCTCCAGCATCCCATTCGCTCCGAGTCTTCCCAGGGCTGCGTCATCTAGGAATGGAATCCTCATTTGAACCTATGCAGGTTTTTCCTGGTGCTATAAAGTTTATCTTATTTGGCCTACATATCACATTCTTTGCTGGTGGCTCAGAGTCCCAGGCGAGATGCACCAGTTGGTGGGGGAAGGGACCCATCCATGCCACCTGTCCTAGAAAATGTTTCCGCTTGTTGGGCAACTGCTGGATCTAGGGCTGTTGGGTCTAGGTCCAAGAGGGGAGAGGGGAGAAGGTCATGGTTAGAGTGGGGAAGCTGCAAGACTCCTCCCTGCCAGAACTCTCCTGACCTGCTTCCACTTCCCCCTCAGGGGAACAGGTGCACCTCCCCTCCTCTCTGTGCTCCTCAGATGCCCCAGGGCTCTCTACTTCATTCCTGCTGACCCTGCCAGGAATGGACTCAGGGGTGGAGGCTCCTAGTTGGAGAATTTGCTTGCAGGAAGGTGAAGACACTAGGGTAACTGGGCCCAAATCCCAAAGGTCATCCAAGTAACCAACGGTGAGGTTCTGAGAATGGTACCTTCACCGGCCTGCCTGACTGGGACAGGGGCCGGAGAGGTGGGTGCTCTCTGCTGACCCAGGTCCTGGCCTCCTATCTGCAGTGTTTCCCCTTTCTTCCTCCTTGTGGGGGAAGACGAGTCTCAGGCAACTGTTCTAGGCCTCCCCTCCTAGCCCCCCATGTCACAAAATACCTTTCAAAGCTCCTTCTGGGCCGGGCACAGTGGCTCATGCCTGTAATCCCAGCACTTTGGGAGGCCGAGGCAGGTAGATCACCTGAGGTCAGGAGTTCGAGACCAGCCTGGCCAACATGTTGAAACCCCCTCTCTACTAAAAATACAAAAATTAGCCAGGCATGATGGCATGTGCCTATAATCCCAGCTACTCGGGAGGCCGAGGCAGGATAATTGCTTGAACCCGGGAGGCAGAAGTTGCATTGAGCCAAGAGCGCGCCACTGCACTCCAGCCTGGGCAACAGAGCGAGACTCAGTCTCTAAAAAAAAAAAAAAAAAAAAAAAAAAGTTCCTTCTGGGTGAGAGTCACTCTAGAACATTGAGGTTGCAGTTGCTTCTGGACTCAGAAGGTAACCACCAGGAGGGCTGTGGGTGCTCTAGCCAAGCAGGTGAGTAGGTGGTGCAGTTCTCTGCCCCCCTCACCCTGCTCCCAGCAGGTCTATGGGTACCTCTTGTGCAAAGGTTATGTCAAGAAAGAGGAGGGTCAGGCTCTGTGGTTGGGCTGGGCATGGTGGCTCATGCCTGTAATCCCAGCACTTGGGGAGGCCGAGGTGGGTGGATCACCTGAGGTCAGGAGTTCGAGACCAGCCTGGCCAACATGGTGAAACCCCCTCTCTACTAAAAATACAAAAATTAGCCAGGCATGGTGGCACATCCCTGTAATCCCATCTACTCAAGAGGCTGAGGCAGGAGAATCACTTGAACCCAGGAGGCAGAGGTTGCAGTGAACCAAGATCATACCACTGTACTCTAGCCTGGGTAACAGAGCGAGACTCTGTCTCAAAAAATAAAGAGAAAAAGAGAAAAGTGCTGCATGTTGAGTGCCTATAATGTAGGAGATATCCTGTCTCCTTTAATACAACCACCTCCATAACAACTTTCATTCATTCATTCCACAACTAGTAATTGGTGGCTAAACACATGCCAGGCACCGTGCCAGGCTTTGGGGATACAAGTTTGGAAAAGGTAACCTCAGCTCCTACACTCCTGGAGGGCATGGTGGTGACAGTTATACTAGCATGGTAAGGGCTGTGATGGGGCATGCATAAAAGGGGCTGTGGGAGCTCTGGGCGAGGGAGGGGACCCAGGGACAGGGCAGTCTAAGCAGGCCTTCTGGAGGAAGTTTAGAAACTGGATTTAGAGGAAGAAGTAGGGACAGAACTTTCTAGACAGAAGGAAGAGCATGTGCACTTCTTCATGGCTGGACCACAGCGAGACTCACCAGACACGAGGCTGCCCAGTCAGGCTGACTCCACGTGGTGCAGGTCCTGAGAGCTATGGTGAGTGAGTCGAATTTCTCCCGAAGGCAGCGGAGAGCCACAGAGGGGCTTCATGCCAGGGCACGGCCTGGGCTGATCTAGACTTCAGGATGATCATTCCGGTTGCAAGGTGGAGAGTAGATTGACTGGAGTGGACAGGGAGGTGACCCAGAGAGCTCAGAGAGGTTAAGTAACTTCTCCCGGGCCACTCAGCTTCTAAGTCGCAGAGCCTGATTGGAAGCTAAATCTGTCCCCAAAGCTTTCCCCACTGCCCCATGTTGCCAGATGCTGTGGCAGGAAGTATAACGTGCATCGTTCAGCCCCTGCCTTCTAGGAGCATGGGATCTGGCTGAAAAGACCAGGCTGTCACCATGGGCAGGGGCCCAGCAGCCCAGAGCAGGCAAGGGGCTTTGAAGGAAAGCGAGGCAGTAAAAGTCCAGGTTCTGGGGCTATCAGGAACAGATTCCCCCAGAGAGGCCAACTTTGACCTTGACAGATGTGTAGAATCCCCTAAAAAGAAGGAGGGTGTTTCTGGCACAGGACATGAACAAGGACATTGAGGCCCAGGGTGAGAAGCAGGGAGACGAGCAGAGAGGCCAGGGCAACCACAGGACAGAGGAAGGGCTGGCAAAGGTTCAGGGACCCCCACCTGCCATGCCAAGGAGTATAGTCCCGATGGCAGAAGTGGGGAGCCATGGAAGCTCTTTGAGCAGGAAGTGACACAAGATGAGAGTCTCAGAGTCACTGCCCCAAATGACACAAGAGATTCTAACTTAATGCTCCCCATGATGACATCATAGGCTCCCATTCCATGCAAGAAGCAGCCAAGACTTAGACACTGAAAGTCATTTACCCAGGGTCACCTTAAATCGCATTAACCACTAAGTGGCACTCATCTTTTAGAACTCAGTTCAAATGTTATTTTCAGATGCCGCAGGCCAGCTCAGTCGCCCACTTACGGACTCTCACAGCACCTTGTACTGCTTTATGGACCTCATTACAATTCTTAAAATTGTAATTAAAGAAGTAACTGGGAAGCGATTTGTTTTCATGTCTTTCTCCTCTGCTAGCAGATAAGCTGCCAGAGGAGGTTTTCTTGCCCTGGGCCGCTCCCATAGTCCATGTAGAGTGCCTTGCCTGCAGTAGAGACTCTGGCTGTGCTTATTGGAGGGAGGCCTAGGGAGGAGTGGGGAGGGCCGCAGTACTCAGTCTGTGAACTTTGGTGTCTGATCCTCTGTCCTTCTTCCTCCTCATCCTCATCCCTCTTCCCCACCCTTCCCCCACTCCTCCTCTCCCCACTGCAGGGGGCTTCTGGCTTGGTGTGGACCAGGAGGAGGCAGAAGGCACCCTGTCGTGGCCGGGCACTGTCTTTGGCGTGCTGGCCAGCCTCTGTGTCTCGCTCAACGCCATCTACACCAAGAAGGTGCTCCCAGCGGTAGATGGCAGCATCTGGCGCCTGACCTTCTACAACAACGTCAACGCCTGCGTCCTCTTCCTGCCCCTGCTCATGCTGCTCGGGGAGCTTCAGGCCCTGCGTGACTTTGCCCAGCTGGGCAGTGCCCACTTCTGGGGGATGATGACGCTGGGCGGCCTGTTTGGCTTCGCCATCGGCTATGTGACAGGACTGCAGATCAAGTTCACCAGTCCCCTGACCCACAATGTGTCGGGCACGGCCAAGGCCTGTGCCCAGACGGTGCTGGCCGTGCTGTACTATGAGGAGGCCAAGAGCTTCCTCTGGTGGACGAGCAACATGATGGTGCTGGGCGGCTCCTCTGCCTACACCTGGGTCAGAGGCTGGGAGATGAAGAAGATTCCAGAGGAGCCCAGCCCCAAAGAGGGCGAGAAGAGTGCCATGGGGGTGTGAGCGCCACAGGCACCCTGGATGGCCTGGCCCCGGAGCCCGTACAGCAGTGAAGGCGGTCTCCTGGACCCCAGAAGGGTGCTGTGGTATGGACTGGGCACTACTTACAGACCCAATCAAAATACGGTGGTTGAGAAGGAACCAGTGTTTACAAGTAGTATCAGAAAGTTGAAGGAACCAGTGTTTATAAGTAATACCAGAAAGTTGCCAAATCTGTCTCTACCCTCTCGTATTTCTGAGTTTTTGTCCTTCCCGAGGGAGTACCCTAGTGAGAGCTGAACCCCTTCCTTCCACCTCCAGGGCCTGTCTGCCTCCACATCACTCTGAGAACAGGGACAAGCAACAACCTTGAAGGGACAGCAACGGCAAAGCCACGAAGGCTTCACTGTACTCAGGGGAGCTGGCCCCACCACAGCCACCTGGAGAGGGTGGGGAAACCTTCCATCTGCGGTGGGCAGGCAGCCTCACCCTGGGCCCACAAACCAGCCTTCCTTCGGAGGAACGTGTGGGCTGGACCCAGGGAGGAAATGATCGAGTTCCCTCTGAGACCAGCAGATCCCCAGGGGCTGCTGGGCAGTGGCCCGGGAATGGGGTGGATTGTGAGAAAGTGCCCACCATCTGCACCCTGTACGTCCAGCTTTCGAACACGAGGGAACCATGCTTCTCTTAGAGGTTAAGCAGGGTCATTAACATCCTCCCCAGTCCCTAACACCACATTGTCCTGCGTGGCTCCTCTGGCCCTGAGTGGCACCTGCTCCTCTGGTCTCCCAGCACCTGGCTCAGGTAACAGCCTTCTGAAATCAGAGCCAGGGAGCTGCTTCTCTCTTCTCCCAGTTCTGCCTCCCCCACAGCCTTCCTCCCCAGGTGGGGCTGATGGAGCAAGGGTCCAGACTAACAGCTTTCCACCCCAGCTGTGTCTGGCGCCCCTCGATCTCTGCAAGGGAGGTGTTATAGCTTGTTCTGAGCCGCTTGCCTTGTGACGGTAAGACACCAGCCTTTACATTCTTCCCTGAGGTTGCGGCTGACAGGGCCTGCTTGGCCCCACTTAGTCCAGCGAGCTCCTATATCAAGATGCCGTAGGCCAGGTGGCTTACAAACAACAGAAGCTTACTGCTCACAGTCCTGGGGCCTGGGACGTCCAAGATCAAGGGGCCAGCAGATTCGGACTCCGCTGAGGGCTGTTTCCCATTCCATAGATGGTGCCTTCTCGCTGTATCCTCAATGGTAGAAGCACAAACAAGCAAGCTCCCTCCTGCCTCTTTTATAAGGACTCTAACCCAGTTCATGAGGGCTCCGCCCCCGTGACCCAATCAGCTCCGAAGGCCCCACCTCCTAATACCGTCACCGTTGGGGGTGAGAATCCCAGCGCGAATTTGCAGGGGGAGGGAGGGATACACACAGATGTTGGGACCATAGCACCCTTCACCACACCCTCCTGCCCTCGGGATGGCTTTCACTCCCCGGCCCTTCTGGTGGGCATTTGGTACGTCCTTTGTCTTAGGGTGATTTCTGAGGTTTTTAGTCCCTATAGTGAAAAGCTGGGGGCCGGGCGCGGTGGCTCACGCCTGTAATCCCAGCACTATGGGAGGCTGAGGCGGGTGGATCACGAGGTCAGGAGATCGAGACCATCCTGGCTAACATGGTGAAACCCCGTCTCTACTGAAAATACAAAAAAAAAAAAAAACTAGCCGGGCATGGTGGCGGGCGCCTGTAATCCCAGCTACTCGGAGGCTGAGGCGGGAGAATGGCGTAAACCCAGGAGGCGGAGCTTGCAGTGAGCCGAGATCGCGCCACTGCACTCCAGCCTGGGCGACACAGGGAGACTCCATCTCAAAAAAAAAAAAAAAAGAAAAGCTGGGGAGAGTGGATCTTCTCCCCCATCCCTCTCCAGTCCCCTCACAATCCCAGGTGGGTTCTAATGCAGCTGCTGCGGCCTGACGCCCTGAGTTGTTTGTGATTCAATAAAGAATCAGGAAGATCCTGTGTGTGTGGCCTGAGGGAAGAGGCAGCAGGGCTGGAGAGCATTTATGAACAGGGTCAGGGGATGGAGGGGAGCCGGGGACCTGTCAGAGGGAGCAGGGCTGGAGGTTTGTGAACAGGGCCCTGGGGTGGTGGGGAGCTGGGGATCTGTCAGGAAGGGGGGCTCATCCCTGCCTTCACCAAGCCCACCCACTAGCAGGCAGCCTTTGTAGGAGCTGGTTCTTTCTAAGGATACCAGGCTCCTTCCTGGAAGGTAGGTGACCAGACTTCAAGTTTCCTATTAGTTGTCATTGTCATTTACTGGGTGCTTGTTGAGGGCCATAGGCTGTGCTGAGTGTTGTACATCCACCCTTGTGAAGTTGTGAAGTTCATCCTCACAACTCCCCGTGGCCCCTGAGGTGGGAGCTGTCACTGATCTCTTTTTTTTTTTTTTTTTTACAGATGAGGACACTGAGGCTCAGAGAGGGCCCCAGGAGGCAGGAGGAGGATTCAGAGGTCTGTGCCTTCAGAGCTTGGTACCTGACTCTACCCCAGCATTCTGAGTCCAATACCCAGCACTTTTTTGTTGTTGTTGTTAAACAGTCTTGCTGTGTCACCCAGGCTGGGCAATGGCACGGTCTTGGCTGACTGCAACCTCCATCTCCTGGGTTCAAGAGAGTCTCCTGCCTCACTCTCCCAAGTAGCTGGGATTACAGGTGCCCACCAACACACCTGGCTAATTTTTTGTATTTTTAGTAGAAACGGGGTTTTGCCATGTGGACCAGGCTGGTCTCAAACTCCTGACCTCAGGTGATCCACCCACCTCGGCCTCCCAAAGTGCGGGGATTACAGCATGAGCCGACGTACCCAGCCTACCCAGCACTTTTCTGAGCACTTGTTATATGCCAGGCACTGTGGTAGGTTGTCTTCGTCCACTTAGTGTTGCTATAAGTGAATATCTGTGGCTGGGTAATTTATAAATTAAAAAAGACTTATTGGTTGGGCCTGGTGACTCTAGCCTCTAATCCCAGCACTTTGGGAGGCCAAGGCAGAAGGATCACGAGGTTAGGAATTCGAGACCAGCCCAGCCAACATAGTGAAACCCTGTCTCTAAGAAAAATACAAAAATCAGCCAGGCGTGGTGGCACACACCTGTAGTCCCAGCTACTCAGGAGGGTGAGGTAGGAGAATCACTTAAACCTGGGAGGTGGAGGTTGCAGTGAGCCGAGATCGTGCCATTGCACTCCAGCCTGGGTGACAAAGTGAGACTCCATCTCCAAAAAAAAAAACAGCTTATTTGACTGATGATTCTGATGTTGGGAAAAGTTCAAGGTTGGGCATCTGGTGAAGGGCCTCAGGCTGCTTTCACTCTGGAAGAGCCAGCTGTGCAGGGATCCCATGTTGAGGTGGGGAAGCAAGACAGAGGAAGGAGGAGATGCCCTGGCTCTTTTTTTTTTTAAAGGCAGGGTCTCACTGTGTCGCCCAGGCTGGAGTGCAGTGGCACAATCAGCAATCCTCCCACTTCAGCCTCCAAGTAGCTAGGACTACAGACGTGCACACTGTGCTCCGGGTGGATTTTTTTGTTTTTATTTTTGGTAAAGACAGGGTCTTTGTATGTTTCCCGAGCTGGCTTTGAACTCCTGGTCTCCAGCGATCCTCCTACCTCAGCCTCCCAAAGTGCTGAGATTTCAGGCGTGAGCTACCACACTGGCTGCCAGGCTCTTTTTAACAACTAGTTCTCATGAGGCTAACAAAGTAAGAACTCACCACCCACTCAGGGAGGATATTACTATAGATAAGAATAATTAATCTATATTATAATCTTAAGAATTAATCTATATTATAATCTTAATAATAAATTTATATTAAGAATATTAACAAGTCGGGCACGGTGGCTCACACCTGTAATCCCAGCACTTTGGGAGGCTGAGGCAGGCGGATCATGAGGTCAGGAGATCGAGATCATCCTGGCTACCACAGTGAAACCCCGTCTCTACTAAAATATACAAAAAATTAGCTGGGCGTGGTGTCGGGCGCCTGTGGTCCCAGCTGCTCAGAAGGCTGAGGCAGAAGAATGGCATGAACCCAGGAGGTGGAGCTTGCAGTGAGCCAAGATCGCGCCACTGCACTCCAAACCGGGTGACAGAGTGAGACTCCATCTCAAAAAAAAAAAAATTTGACAAGTGATTATTAATCTATATTAATAATATTTAATAATTAATATTGTTAATATTAATATTGTATGGTTAATGTATTAGTAATAAAATAGTATATTAGTGATATTAATACATAATAGTTAATGTATTAATATAATTAATATATTGTTAATGATTATGATTATTGATATATTAATATATAATGTCTATAGTATCATTAATTATATAATAATTGATATATTATTGATTCATGAATAATATAGATTATTCATGTGGCGTCTGCCCCTGTGACCCTCCCATTAGGCCCTCACCTCCAACATTGAGATCAAATTTCAACATGAGGTTTGGTGATAAACATCCACACTATAGCAGTTATATTAATATGAAGACCCGGATTATATTAATATATCTGCTTATATTAATATAATCTGCTTCCAGCGGCTCGCACGTAAACATGTATGCCAGCCCCATAACAGAAGCCACGTTGGAGATCTGAATATATTGCCATGAGCAAGCAGAAGGTGGACAGACCAAGTCTGGGGAGTCAGCCAGGTCCTGACAAGGGCCAGGATATTGGAACAGGCTAACTGAGTGAGCAGAGGCCTCAAAGAGGAGATTTAGAGGAAGAGCAGGGAGAAGGTTAAGCTCAGGAAAGAGCACAAGTGGGAGCGGTGAGAGGTTTAGGGGTTGGAACTGGAGAGGAAACCAGAAAGGCAGGGTGGGATGTGGGGTGAAGACCTTGAATGCAGTGGTCAATCTGGACATGATCGGATTGATTGCTACGCCATTGCCAGGTCCCTAAAACAGAGTGGACATGATCATTTCTGCACCCTTTGTACATTCAGAAAATTGGGACTATTTTCTTAATGCTATTTGCACTTTTTTGAGAGAAATCTAAACTGGGCGTGGCCGCTCATGCCTGTAATCCCAGCACTTTGGGAGGCCCAGACAGGAGGATCGCTTGAGCCCAGGAGTTCAACACCAGCCTGGGCAACAAAGCAAGACTCTGCTGCTACAAAAACTTTAAAAATTAGCTGGTCATGGTGGCGTCTGCCTGTAGTCCCAGCTACTAGGGAGGCTGAAACAGGAGGATCACTTGAGCCCAGG